ATATTGTACACGTCGTAGAAAACAAGAGCATTATAAGATCTTTCTTCTCCTCCTTTGTAGTGTACTTAAATTAACGAAAATTAAAAATAATGACATAACCTAAAAAGAAATGAAACATTAGTATTAATACATGCGCTTATCACCTATTTACCTATTACTAAATTTTAATAAATGTCGATAAGGTTATAACTTTAAACAATAAAATATTTCTGTACGTCGATGAAATTTTAAACAATTAAAGGAGGTATTGAATGGGTCAACTAGTGAATACAAGTGGGAAAAATATTGTCCATGTATGTATATATGCGATGTAACTACATAAATATGTATAAATTTGTACTTTCACGTTGTAAATTTATAAATTAGAAGTGTTACTTAACTATTTGCCATAATCTTATAATATATATCATATATGGGACATATGTCTGTAAATTAATTCACTATGTTACAGATACTATTGAGTAACAAGAAAATCACCCATGACAAATCAAATTCCTCCGAATAGTGTATATCAGATGAAGATTGAAAGATTAACGATACATATTCAAATTTTAAGATATCGCAGGTCAAACAACTCTGTGACATAGATTTAAAATACCACGCCAACAACGCTAATGAAACTCAATGTTATTCTTATAGTATACATCAAGTATTTCTCTATGTGTATTTTTGTAACAGGCAATGATATTTAGTTACGACGCTTTATTAAACGTCTTTTTACATACCTTGCCTAATAATATGCAGTAAAATTTCAGTCATCCGCCAATGTGGTGCACCGTGCAACATATCATTCTATACACATACTGACACACGCATATCCAATTAATTCTCACCTGGTAAAATAGACACCAGAGGGTGTATTAAAAGCGACGAATTGCTTTCTTAAAAAGATAACGTTTATACATACAACGGTTGTTCTTCACTTTTTTCTTTTTAATGTACTTGACAACAATATATTGCGATAATAATATAATGCAAACTCAGCTTTTACTTATATTGCCTAACTACATAAAGGGATACGTGTTAGAAAATAAAGAAATCATTCGTTGTTTGTGTTGCATTTTAAATTCAAATGTATATGTATAAATTATGAATGCACATCGAAATATACATGTACACACCTATAATATCATTACACTTACAGATCGACTTTGAAGTATCAAAGACATTTTAAATATATAAAGCCAGAAAAAAATGATGCCAGGTAAAAAATTATATATATATATATATATATATATATATATACGATATAGAATACATAGTAGACAATAGATATGTACACGTTACATACATATGTATAATTGTACTTGCAATATTACATGAAAACATTTTTAAAATATATAAATATATCAATGTTTAAATGCATACATAAATACAAGAACACACACGTATTTGTCCAAAATTCAAATATGGATGTATAGAACTTCTAACTTTGTGTATTATGTATGTTCAGGCTCAGGAAATTGTGAACTTGTGTATGTACATACACATACATATCACGCGGCGTGTTTCAAATATGGACCTGAAGGTTGAGCATAAACTGGACTTGGCGACGCGGGGAGTGAAGCGAACGCGAAGACAGGGGTCAATACGTCGGCCATATTGATAGAAACAAACAGTGCTGTCATCTGTCGTCAAATCGTGATTATAATTTCGTTGCGACCATAGACCTAAGAATATATGGGCAGAGTCTTGGGCTAAGGGGGGATTGAGATTCGCGGAAGGGGGGAATACATGTATTTCGTCTATTTTCGTGCATTCTCAATTATATTCGGGTGATTGCATGGATCTAATAGGTCCATGGCGAGAGTCGAATGGACTTGGATGGTTCCGAGTGATTCCGAATCAAACCGAATACAACCGAAGTGCATATATGTAGTCCCTTCTTACGGACAATTTCATTCCCCACTTGCCAAAAAGTTAAGGTATATGTGTTCCAACCATATATTTATATAGTAGTACGTTATAAATATATGGCCTAAAGCAGGGCTCGGAATTAACTTGCACGGGACGGAGACAGCGCATTTTCGGAGATTGCTCTGAAAATGCTGCAGAACGGCATCATCCAATCCCGTTTGTGGGATCTCTTTTCCACCATTCAGCAACATATTTCAGAGCAGTCTCTTCAGAATAATTTCGAGCCTGGTCTAAGAGCTCTTGGTTGTATGTATAAGCTCATTTCAGATGGAGCGTTAGGCAAGCGGATGCGCACTCTTTCTCGCTTGCCGCTTCCTCTTTTTGTCTTCAACTACGAGAGCAGCCCTGTTCAGTTGTGAATCGTCAGCCAATCAGAGCTTGTAGTAGCTTGCAGCTGACGGACATACACAAACGTATGTATGTAATATGTGTATTATATAGTGAAAGAGCGCGAAAGTAGAGTAAGAGAGTAGCTATAAAATTGTTAACAGTTTCGAATCGTCTTGTAGTGGTTTGGTAATTTATTTTGTCTGTTTATTTTTTGACTCGGATTGTACTTTTTTTATCCATATAAACAAACATGACATGATAACGAATTTACAAGAACAAAGAATCGGGAAAGCGTTTATGCGTTTACAATACTGCAAGATTTACTTTGTATACTTTTAGAGGTTAGTTTATACATTTGCTACGATTATCATGTTTTTATTATTTTCTATTCATAATATTCTATTACATCTATCACTTGTAGAATGTTTAGTTTTCTGCATATATTAATACATCTCACACTTTCTTTTATTTATTTATTCACTTACATAGGTAGTAGAGACTTGAAAGAAGCAAACCTGACATTTGTAAAGTAGACATTAATATGAATACATTTGATTTATATTGTTTACATATTCTTCTATGACCATTTAAATAATATTTATGTATATAATATTATGTATCCGAAATTTCGTGAACTCGCTCATCTCCAATATGTATTGATTTCTTTCTATGTTCATAAGGTATACAGTTGAGAGAATTAATATATACTGATGGATTCTACATCAGAAAATATACTGTATACTCCACGTAGAGTTCAAAAATGCTTATTTGGAACCAGCAGAAGTACATCTAGAAAAAATACAAAAAAGATTCCTACAGAATATAACAAAACAAATGATTATTTATCTGGAGAAGAATCAGATCTGGGCGAGCTAGAGAAGTGCTACCATAGTCCCAATAAATATGCTTTACAACGCAAAGACTTATTGGATACTCGTAAATCCATATCAATTTTACATACAAAAGCTTCTGGTATAAAGACCCCGACAAAATTAGATATGAATGCAGTAATGGACGAACTAATGATAAAAACACCTGAAAGACATTTTGGCAAAGAATTGCAGAACAATATTATAGATACTCCACATAATCATGAAATCCCAGAACAGAAGCTGATAACACCATTAACTTCGGAACATAAAACGATCCCTTTGCCAAAATTACATAAACGCAAACCTTTTGTATCGACTAATGTAACAAAAAATTTGCCTCAACGAAAAGAGAAGTCATTAAAAAGGCATGCGTCAGAAGGATCCCAAAGTGCTGCAAAACTAACAAAGACAGAGGAAAACAGTACTGTACCCAAAGCTAGAGCAGCTTTATTTCAGGATGCTAGCTATACAACAAAAATAAAAAACTTAATATTAAGTACGCACAGTTTTTATAGTAAATCTGATACAGAGTCAAGAAAGAATGATCAAATTTTAAATGTATCGCCGCCACTACAACGATTACAGCAACGAAAACATTTTTCAGGGTATTCGCACCATAATAAAAAATTACAGAAAAGACACACAATAGGCGGAGTTAATGGTGGAGTATCTCATGGAATTAGAAAACCAAAAGCAAAATCTAGTTTAAGTATTACAAAAGATAGTATAAAAAAGTGTATGCAGAACGATATAAATGTAGAGAGAGAAAACGAAATTTCTGACATAACCACAATACAACTTACTAGAACACCTGACACAATGTTAATTGAAAGATCTCCAACACCAGAAATTGATCTTAATAAGCGATTCTTCAAAATTAAAAGATCTTCGAAGCAAAACAAATCAGCTATGGTAACGATAAATAATAACTTGAAATTAAAAGTTGCATCGAATGGCAAATTGTCATTAAATCAAGAGAATTTACAATATGTTCATCAAACAGGGAAACGATCAAAGTTAATGGACATTTCATTTGATACTACTGATTTAACAGTAGATAATCCTGAATTGGAAGATACTATAGAGAAAAATAAAGTTGCAAATATACTGAAAGCTTTGGAAGACGATTGGGCAAATGATGACTATGATACAATGGATGTACTAACTACAAAACAGTTTGGACACATTTCTCCATTAAAGCCAGTAGCAATTCTGAACGATGTAACTATGTCTCCGGCCAGTGAACTTAGTAACATGACATCAACCATGAATATTACGGATATTAGTACATCGACATCCGAAAATATTCCTTTAGATAATAATGAAAATAATATTGAAGAAAAAGAACCACGATACTATCCATTATTTAATAGAGGTTCCTCGTCCAATAAAGTATACGAGTAAGCGCTATAAAATCTTTCATACATTCTAAAATATTTTTAAATACTCATCTCTACTAAATTAATGCTATTATCCTTTTAGAGACCTCAGCAAAAAATCAGTAGACAATACGAAAAGTACAATAAGTTGGCAGTTATCAACAAAACAGAATGGTAATGATAATCAGTACCAATTAGATGTTGGACAAAAAAATTTTGGTGCAACACAGTGTACAGAATGTGGTGTTGTATATCAAATTGGTGATCCTGAAGATGAAAATGCTCATTTAAATTATCACAATAGTAAAAAAAGTCTGAAATTTCCGGTATAAATCATGTGCAATATCTACATGTATATAATGTTATGTTATAATAGAATGTGTTTATAAATGTTTTATTAATTTCAGGGTTGGAAAACAGAACGTGTAATTATGGAAGATCCTTTCACGATGAGCAGAGTTATCTTAGTGGAGCCGAGTGATGCAAAACAATATTGGAACAAGATAGCTGATGTATTAGCATATGTGAACAGAGATTTAGGATTAGTTGACACGAAATTATCAGACTACGAGCATAAAAAAGTTACTATTGATTTCATTTTCTCCGTCTCGTTCGTATGATTACGTTCTATATTATTTTAATTTTTAGGTTTACTTATATATAAGAGACAAAAGTATCCTCGGGGTTTTAGTTGCAGAACATATAAACACCGCGCATCGTATGATTCCTGATTTACTGGAATTAAATTGTTGTACAGCAGAAAGTACACCTGCGAAATGTGGTATAAATGTTGTATGGACTGATATGAAACATCGTAGACAAGGAATTGCTTCTAAAATGGTTGACATATTAAGGTATAAAATATTTACTTTTACAAAACATGCATTAACATTTGATTATTGTCGTTTTGAACATTTCAGATCTCAATTTTATTATGGTTATATTATGTCACTGGATGATATTGCATTTTCAATTCCAACACCAAGTGGAAAAATATTTGCTGAAAAATATACGAAAACTCGAAACTTCAAAGTTTATAATTAAAATCTGGTATGGACTTTTATATCTTTCTTAATAAAATAATGTAATATTT